TGTTCCCTATGAGCCTGGGAACAAATCTCCCATCCCCAGCTCTCCAGAGTGGTCTAAAAAAGAACCACTGCAATATTGAGCTGGTCAGAGTTACTAAAGATAGTGTATCTTCAACTTACAGAGAAGGCAACATGACCAGGCTGACACCATTTCTGGTCAAAAACCTGTCTGCAGGCCCAAAAACAAGCAGAGAAGTGAAGGCTTCCCTGTGCAGTGAGTGAACATGAAAGCCTAGATGGATTTGCACAGCTCTGGATCACATTCCATATAAACTCACAGATGTGCATAACTGAAACGCATGGAAACACCCTTCTCTTCACTGAAAAGGATGTAGATTCTCCAGCCCTTCAGAGGCCCTAGGAATAGCACCAGCCACTTTGCCTTGGCTGTGTGGGCTCAGACAGCAGCCTGGGACTGGGCTTTCTTCAAGGAAGGGGGAAAAGAAAAGCAGCCAAAAACAGAGCAGCTCATGTGAAGAAAAAGCACAGGAGAGCTGATGATAGAATTAGAAATAAATGCCTTTTGTGAAACACCTTCCAGGACAAGATGCCCACCTGTCCATTGAAATTACTCCAGTCTGAAGAAGTCTGTGCACATGCTGTAAAGCCATAAAATATAGTGAGTTTGGCTCCATGTCCCCTGCTTGTACTGCAGAAAAGATGGAGCCTCCAAGGCCTCCAAACCTGAGCAATTCCTTGGTAAAGGCCAAGGCTGGAAGCTTTTTTCACAGCGCAGTCCTCAAGCAAGCTCTCTCTACAGAAACTGCCTGCAGAAAGGGATTTTGATGGATGAGTTTAATTACCTCATAATTATTAAAAGAGATGTAATGAGATTCTCTTTTTTAGCTGGCATGTTCTAGGGCATTTCCATAATAATCTGCACCTTATGCAGAAGTCCTGAACATTAAAAAGGAAGCAAGAAAAAAAAGAGCATAAAGATCTTATGACCCGTAGCTTAAAAACTTTCTAAGGGGAAATCAAACTCTTAAGGACAGGACCAGTAGCTTAGACTAATGTTTCCGAAAATAATAAACCTTGTATTTTTCTTTTCTACCTGAAACTGTTTTAGAGGGGTCTTCGTATATGCACAAGATCATTTTAAAGAAGGTGGCAATTAGTATTTATCCGTGTACTTTACTAGGATGCAAACAACCTCTCAGAAGTGAAGGGTGGAACTTCTAAGCAGAGTTACAATTCTGGAAAAGGCTTAAACAAGGGAGGTTGTGAAGCTCACATTAGCAATGTACTTAGGAGCCTCTTAGATGCATTTTTTCTACAATGACCTGGAGACAGTTCTTTAATCCTACCAATGATGCAGATGATCCCTTCAGAAATCGA